GGGACGTTGAAATGAGAAGAACAGTGCGTGAGAGGGAGGCTCTATAGTAGCCCGAAGCGGTGCAGGGCAAATTGAAGCTATCATTTTACAGAGATAATCAACAAGTAACAGCGGTTCAAACCCAGTTGTATCATAGCAGTTTGGGCAGCGAACCTTTCTTCAAAGCGAGAGCCCGGCGAGCACTAAGCTATTTGGAGCGCGTGTCGACCCCAAGGTAGAATCAACCGTATGTCGGGCGTGCCGGGACGGGGTCGAGACAATGGAACTTTTGGTGCTCGGCATTTAGTGCTTCCCACCGCCTGTGATGAACCATCGTCAGCCTCACTACGAAACGACCCTAGCGGACGCTCTGATGTCCACGTTGACTCCAGGTGTCAACAAGGTAGACACGTGAGATGCAGACGGAACAAGTCGGAACTCTAACATGACCAAGGTAGCCACAGGAAAGACTGCGGTGGGGGAGGGAGGTTTGCGATCTCAATGTCTCCAGAGGACGAAGGCGAGATTGGATCATTCGTTTTAGCATACAATATAGTTGTTTATGTGTTTTTTCAGCTGTTTGTTTATTGCTATGGCACGAAGGTTTTTGGAGCTAGCCAGCTGCAAAGGGAAAGCCGCATAGTTATCATCGTTACCATTATCGTATATTCCGTTGGATATTTCACAAAAAAAAAAATCCAAAAAAACTTGAAGTGTGACATAAACATTTTGGGAATATTAAAGGTATAGCATGATGACTAAGCAGACTTGTTAGAAGTAGAATGCAACCAACACCGTTCTTCCACTTTAGTTCTTAAAGTAACAAATAAAGAAAGTAATTACATTGCACCGCTATCGCAATGAAGTCTAAGAATAGTGACATATATTTAGCACTAGACATGAGACAGTTGAAACATCGCAAGAATACTAAAAGCGGCAAGGAACGAGTGCTAACAAGCAAGAAAAACAATGATCTCATATATATTGAGCTTTGAAAATTCAACCATTCTATTATCACGAGGCATTCTTTTAAAAGAAAAACTTTCAAAGAAACCTAATGTGATCTCACACATAAGTCACGCTCACAAGAATAAAGTTTTTTTTTTTTAACTACGGTCCCCGGTTTCGGAATTCAATTTTCTTCAAATTTCGAGGTGTTTATTGTTTTTCTGTGAATTTGTATTGGTTCGGTGTCTAATTTGAATGCTCGAGATAAATCGGTGTTTATTGGGTTTGTTTTGTATAGCGACTGGATAAATACTAGATAAAATGTTATAATTTATAAGTTATAAATGATATTTTGTCCAGTAATGCTGGTAAAGATAGGAGACGAAGCCGGGGCAAGGAATGTGGTTTCGATAAAAAAAGGATCAACATCAAGGACATTTCAGCGCGGCTGTGTTCTCAATGAGAGAAAACAAAGTAGGGTAGAAAATATCTCCGCGTGAAGCGGGCGTTTTTTTTTTTGTCTTGTTCAGTTTTCACCAATTAGAAGAAGAAAACAAAAACCGACTCGGGCGTTAGTTTTGCGTGTTTATTGGTTTATACTGAAAACACAAAACCCTATTTTTATCGAAACGGAGGGCCCCACTAAACTCCACTTTCTAGTTTTGAATAGCACCGCTGTAGGGTTCACTTGCATCAAAGTTTCACGAACCTGGTTGTTCAAACTTTAGTCCCAATAGAGTTTTACGATTGAAACATTGGTGTACACAACTCAAGAAATTATCACTCAGGTAAAAGCTGCCAAGCATCTGAGTGGTTCACGAATGCGGGTCGTTTGAAATTCAACAAGAGAGAGGTATTAGACATAACCAAAAGGCGTCTTGAAGTTCAGCAGACAGAAATGGCTGCCAGCAGAAGGCAATTATTGGAATGGCCTGCATGTTAGTGAAAGGGTAGCTAACACCTAATATTCTATTTATAGTAGTGTAGGCGCTGTAATAAGGTAACCTTCCCTAATTATTCGCAAGACTTCGCTTCAAAATCAGATTAGCAGTTCGGTTTTTTATATATAAAGTTTTGCTTTATGCTAAATATGTCGTATAAAAGTCAAAATTCCCATAACGTTTGACATATACTTTTATTTTCAAAATCAATATGCTTTGTTAAAAACCGATAGTTTGCTAAACTAACTCGTACACAAGGTTGAAGGGCCTGCGCAAACTTACAGAAAGAAAAGAACAAAGAAATGAACAGTACAAAACAGCTGACTAACAAATTTACTTTAGCACACTCCTTCATACGCGAAATGGTCGTCTTTAGAGGCTCTTCGCATTACAGAAACGAGCAGTTAGTTACGAAGCAGATTCCCACAAAAGCAATGGTAAGTTTAACGTTACCGACCGACATTCATTGTACGAGTTGTCTGGTTTAGCCAAACAGCGAATACTGTATTTTTTGTTCAGGATAGCAAGAGATGAGTTGCTAATATATTCATCCGCATTTTGTTCGTGTTACCTAGGCGTGGCGCACGGCGAATACTGTTTTTCTTCGGGGCGGATAGTGTCGCACAAGGTGATGACACATTCGTCCGCGTTTTCCGAGATGGCCAGTGCTTCGGGCATCTGAGGTGCAAAAGGATTCTGGTTTGATTTAAGAAGTGTAAAGTTACTGAATGTGCAGTGTCAAATAGGCGTTGTTCATTGTGTACCCCCTTCATGCGGCATGTGTCACATTGCGTAGCAGGTCGATGTATCAACGACAGAATTAGGGAACATGCAGCGTCTGTTGTGAGGCTCGGGGCGAGAGCCGAAATGCAACAACTGAACAATAGTTTACTTCAACGTATGCTGCAAAAAGGGGTGACCGGCTGGAGGCTTTGCGCTCTTGGAGGGCCGGAACGAAGTGGAGTGCTTCACCCGCGGCCGAAGACATGACGAAAACTTGTAAATGCTCCGAAGCTCGATAACTGCATGACCCCTGGCATGGGGCGCCAAGTATGAGGACGCGTCGAAAATACTTGCGCAGAGAGGAGGACACGTAATTCCATATCTCTTCTATTCCCAAAGGACCGAGTCTTTTGGTTAGCATGAAAAAAAAAATCGTAGTGAAAACAGAATTTCGAAAGGTCATCTACGAGCTAATTTTAGGGCATGCAAATGCAGTGAAGCATTCAGCAACATTTTAATTCTTGTAACGAACAAGAGTACTTTTCCATGTAATAGGCTTAAGGCACTGGCCTTTGAAGCCACTGGGGAACACGCGAATGAATATGCTAGCATCATGTCCATTACTATCAAAAGTAAAGAAACATTTGCAAAGTGTAAATCCAGATATAACTCGTACGGTGATTTTTCCAAAATAAAGTTGAATATTTTGCCTCCGTAAATCAATCTACAGCGACAGATGTTCAAGGAAGCCTTTCAGGGAAAATGCATTGGTGTCCTTCCTGTAAACTCTTGGTGACGTCATCGATCATACGATCGCTCCCTGCCACCTCCGTTAAGTCTTTTGCGAAAAACAATACATTTTTTTTTGGCGAGTCGGATTTGAATTATCTACCCATTAATACCAGCAGTGGTTTCATATAAAATGAACTACCCTACCGCCGAAGCTATGAACGGGACAAATATCAGAAAATTAAAGGCAGTATGCATTTCATTTCTCTCTTTCTTAACTAACGCTTCGGTATCCGCAGAGCCTCGAGCGTACACGCGACGTTGGAGTATGGCAAAAAGCTTTCAGTGTGTGCTGGACGGTGGGAGTTCGAAAGAGGCGCCCTGACCATCTCACCTCGTCAGTGAATATTGAAGACGTTGGCTACAGCGATACCCCCTAGAAGACCAGGCCCGAGGCTTCCCTCCAGAAATCGCCACCAGCGGATTCACGCAGGACCACCTGCCTCGCGTCACCACTGTCAACAGCACGTCTTGCAGCGACTCACAACGGGAATAGCGTTAAACAATACCGCCTACAAGACAAGGCCTGCGCTTGACGCTATCTTTAGCAGATCTCCGATCCGCCCCAAGGAGCAGACCTGCGCGTCTTGTGGATGCCGCGTGCTAGTATAGCGATCATTGCGAGATGTTTCGAGACACGCTGACGGTGATGCTGAAGGAATCTAGGCGGCACTGCGTGTATCTTTCACTAGTGACGACGTTTGGGGGAGGGCACAGGCCTTCTAATTTAGGTGTTATTGGCTGTCGTTGACACCCCTGTGTGCGAGCGCAGGCGCGCGACCGTCCGGACAGGAGAAGTTGCACGCCGTGTGGATGCATCTGAAAAGCATCTTGCCGATCCAAAGAACACGAATCTTAGTTGAGCCGCACTGAGGAGGCTCGTCGCAGACAGATGGCACGGATGAGGGACGCCAGCAGAGTCGAGTGGAAGCGAAAATTGCGTGAACATTCTCTTAATCATTCTCTGGAGGTGGCAGGGAAACGAAAACGACATCACAATGACAGATAATTACGCGATCACCGAGTTCATGTCGATGTGACACACGTTACGTGATAGGCTAAATTCCCTCAGATTTTTTTGTAAGTACGTAAGAATTATGGTCTATATGTGTGAACCGTCTCTGAAGAAAACGATTAATTGCACGAACTCTACCTAAGGAAGTTTTCTGGGCGTTTGTTCTGTCCTGTTCCACTATTTCTTCGTTCGTCTCTGCGACTTCAAGCTGGTCCTTTATCATACCATAAACCTCTACTTTATTCGCTCTCTTGGGAAGGACATTGCTTTGCGAGTTTTAAGATTAACATTGAATTATTTGCCTTTGAGCAAAGTTAATAAACTCATAGGTCAAAGAAATAAAGTTGCGTGATCAATACTACAACGAAATTCTTATAATCGTGGTAATCGACCGTTTTATATATTTAATTGAACCTGCAGAAATATACTAAATGGTGCTAATTTAAAGGCCTTGACCTGTAATCCGTGTATGAACACAAGGTACATCTTGATAAGACGTATATGTCTTGATCAGAAAGATTTTGATGTCGTCGAAGTCCTAAGAATGTAAAACCTTGACAGCATGTTTTAAGAAAAATTATTTGACGAAAGAAAGTAGAGCTTACCATGTATAACTGACTTGATGAGGATGAAATAGGAAAGGCCTCGTCCCCACAAAATGTAACCAGCAGTGGAGCATTCCTGTCGTAGCCATCGTACACAGAAAGCATGTCGTCGCACATGTACCCCAAGTCAAAGTCTCTGAAAACCTGCATCATGGCGCACATCACATCACTGTCATAAACTTAGGTAAATTTCTTTTTGTCATCAACGGCACATGAAAGTAAGAAAAGTATGTGTTGAGGCACTTATGGTCAACTTATTTAAACCGGCTTCCAAATAAGGCTAAACAAAAAGATAATTACGTTATAGTCTAAATTAAAGCTGAAGTCATTAAACCTGTCTTTTTGTTTGAGAAAGTACATTTCTATTTAATTCTCTTGCGCGTACTTCGATGACTACATAAAAGCACTATTCTGCCTCAAATTTCCTATTTCATAATTCTGTTGTATTCTGTTTCTGTGTCCGGTGATTCCTGCAAACTGTTTCCTGTGATTAGCTATGAATTATAGGAAAGTGAAGTGTGGGCTAATATCCACTCGTGAGCAACAGACTAAGGTGAAGGAAGATATTATTTTTATATACATCATACCTAATTCTTGATCATACGCGCATTATTCTTGTTGCTGCTTGTGTCAATCTTACGACGCACATAGGTGTCTCCGTAAAACGGAAAACCAGTAAGAAACCAACAAAAGTTGTGTATGTACATACACTATACCGTAAAACCCAGTCTAAATTTTCTCTATTCGGTATATTAAACTGGAAATCTATATTGATGCTTTCTGGGTTTCAAATGTTCAGATATTATTCCTTGATCTCCAATCTGAATTTCTGTTTGCCAGAAACAATTCCAGTTAAATTTCCGGTTCCACATCCAGATAGCGAAAGGTTATCCTGGGTTTTAGTTAGGGTAATCTTCCTTCGACACAGCAGAAGTGCGTATAGTGTGGACAAAAACTGAAAATTTCGCAACTGAAATCCCTTGAACGTCTTGTACTTGCGCTTGGGTGTAATGCATTTAGACAAAGGAGGGTCGCAATTTACTTTTTTGTGCTTAAAGCGCATACACCAGCTTGTATAGTAATGTAAGGATACTCAGGGATAAAAACTGATATTAGTAATTTCAGTGTACACGTGCCACTGCAATAGAGGAAAGTTTCGCACTCCCCAAAGCAGAAAAAAGAAATTAATCGAGTCAACGGCACCGTTTAACGATTCATAGAAGTGCAAATATGACGTGAAACATTTTAATAATATTTTACTAGATTGCATAGCCCCCGAGCTTTAAATAAACTGTCAAACTAAACTTCAGGAAACCGGCGCCTTGGATGCGAGAAATTGTGGTTTAGTTTGTCATAATTTTTAAAAATGATTCCAGAAAACTACTGACGCTACGGCTTTGATATGAGTGGTTCGCCCCCGAGAAAACCCTTCACTACCATAATACTTAATTCCAGATCTTTTAAACTTGTCAGCTCTTGACATTGCTACGCATCTTCAACGAACAATCACAAGAGAATTGAACAAATATTACAAAATGTTTTGGAGGCCTGAGTTACTTCTCTACTTTGTAGTATTACATTGATAGTCACATCTATAAATACTCTTGGGCGGACTCCATACGGAAATAAATAGCAGCGAGGTCTAATAAAAAAAAACTTGCAAATATTTAAATGCGGGTGCATACTTACGAGATTAATTTTCTCACCAACAGCAGTCGTAATGAGCCAAGAACAGATAACTCCGTTGGGATATATATCCGGGTAGTGGGGACTGGTAATTATACCGTCAGGAGAGGTTATATGACGTGTGCAGGAAGCTGTAAAATGGAGATCAGACGTATTGTATAAAAAAAGAGCAAAATTTTATTCAGGGTGAAATGTGTGTAATAATTGTAGACTGCGCACGTCCAGCATGAAATATGTGAAACGTATAGTTTCTAACAAAAAACACTAATATTTGTCGCTTTGTTTCCATAAACTAATTCGAAGTCAGAGAATGGTAATTGTACTCATAACAAGAAAAATGAAGCTCCGAACTCGGAACCACTTGAATACACGTTTTGAAACTGAAACCATGGAAAGACCTTTCCATTTGTAGCGGCTCTAGTGAAACAGATTTATATATTTGATTGCTTTAGTGTTTTTGTTACCAGGTGCTGTTAATGCCTTCGTGGTAAGGTATAAACATTATATACCGCGCTCACACACCTTTGTGTCAATCTGCACATTACAATAGTGTCGGTCACAAAATCAGCCAATCATGTAAACAAAAATCTGTTTGTTTTAATGTAAGCTGAGGGAACAGGGCATTGCATAACTCTCCCTAGAGTCCGTTTTCAAGTGAAGTTCAGCTTCATTCTTTTTTTTTTTTTGAAGGTAGGGACTCTAGTTGGTGATTTACTGATAAGTTGAGCGCCAGGCTTCTTATGTACTGCATTTTACGTTGAATAAAATTAGCATGCATGCGTTGATTACGCTGTAGTTTTTTTCCTTTCAGACGTTTTCATAAAAAAGTTGGTAACTCCAGAAACACGAGACCCAATATAAAACAAAATAGACCAATTCATTTTCACGATCGTTGATTTCTATAAATTTGACTTTATGCCATCAATTTGTTGAAGTCAGGCTGAAAGAAATATTTTAATTTATTACGTGTTTTAGCTAAGAAAAAAATATATTTGTAAGTTTGTATTACACCGCTTATATAAATAATTAACAAAATGGATATCGCGTGGAGGCAAGCTTAGAACGACAGAACCTATCACTGCTTGTGCCATTCTTTGACCGCAGTCTTGGGGTTCATGTCATGATCAATTTACACCTACTCGTGTGGGCACTAACATTAAGTACATTTTTATATTTATTTTTCTCAGTGAATAGGTGAGTGATATAATGCACACGCACAAGGAACAACACTCCGCGAGCCTACAGTTGCGTAATGCTTGGAAGAAGATTAAAACCGTAATTTTATATTAAACTAAGACTTCGAATGAGTGATTCTGTTCTCGACTCTTTACCACCGCACACTCGTGAAGTCCAAGGTTTAGGAGCAAAATGAGCGCTGTATTAAGGTTAACTACTTCAATGTGCAAAGCAATAGTTTGTTGGTTTGTTTAGATGTACACCACAGAGCCTATGAAAGCTTACCGAGACCCAGCGTTGACACACGCTTACGTGTAGCCGGCCCGAGGACGACATTTCCGTTGACATCTTTGAGCCCTTCGCGGACATCAATATGGTACGTTGAATTTGGCGTCAGGTTTGAAACGGTTGCTTGTCCGGATGTGAAAAGTGTCTTACAAAAGGAATGTCTGTTGCAGTATCGCACTTGAAAGTGATTATAGGTACTCGGCTTTATTTGCACTGCGAACACCGTCATGGTCACGTTTGTTACTGTGAAAAACACAGGCTCTGTAAGGAAATTGACGAAGACATAACATTTAATTAAGACAAGTTAAGCAAATTGAGTTATTTTGTACCACACCCGTTTTACTCATGAGGTCTGTACTATCGTGGCCTCTGTTAGCTGTAACACTCCAGCGGCGGCCGTCGCGCACCCGCAGCACCGCGTAGCGGGTGCCGTCCAAAACTCCGCGCATGCGCCGTATGGCGGACTCGCTCTTCCCACCTGCGAGCACACCTTCGCTTTGTCCTCTGCTAGGCGTAGAGCAGACGACGACACAGCGTCGTCCGCCCATGTTTGCTGAACACGGTTTCGTGGGCTCCTATTTATGCACAGATCGACTATCAGCCGTCTCTGCTCTTCTGCATGATATCCTCGCCATAACAAACTGGTCTCGAACTGATTTTAGGCAGGCGACGTTTATTGGGCAGATTGCAGAGTAATTGTGGCAAAAACCCTGTCTACGTATCTTTTGTTTGGCTTTTTTAGAAGCAGTCGTGCGCAATGCATGTTTCAACAATACGCGTTTGCGAACTAGCATGAGCGCAGCAGGTGTGATTTAGAAATGGACCGTCAACTGCAAGTTTTACCGAGAGAAATAATGTAATGTACCGTAATATATACAATAAGTTGTGATGATTATCCTCAATCAGGCGGACACATATCCGTGAGTCAGGGAATCAACCACCGCTTAAGAGGCGCCAATGAAACCTTGGGCGCCTCTTACGCAGCTCTTACATAGTGGTTCGCTGAACACGAAACCGTGTTCAGCGAACATTGGTAAGCGCTTTGACGTTTTCTGGTCTGCGCCTAGGAGACGACAAAGCGGAGGTGTCCTCGCTGCCTGAAAGAGCGAGTGCGCCACACGGCGCATGCTCGGGGTTTCGGAAGGCGCCTGCTATGCGGCGCTGGGGGTACGGGACGGCGCCGCTCGCGTGTTACAGCTAACAGAGTCCGCGATAGTACCGTTTACCGCCAGTAGATGACAACCAAATAAACGCAACTAGAAAAAAGTCTAAAGGGTGACTATAAAACAACAAAAAGTGACCGAAAATTTGATAAAACCTGCGTAACGAGATATACGTAATCGGGGTTGGTCATTAATGCTAGGACGTTCTTGCGCTGGCTATAACAATTACGATAGCACATTGGCTTCAGAGAAATTCAACTAATATTGAGCGTTCTGGTAACCTGCGAGTTACAGCAAGCACTCTGATGACATATTTAGCTCACATTCCCGAGCTTACTGGTAGACTCCCTTTTAAGTTCGCTTAAAACAGAATTTCAACAAAGTGGAACTCTCGGTTCAGTGTTTTTATGCACACCCCTGGACGTGAGTCTCAAAATCACATTGTAGTCTCATTATGCAATTGACTCATTCTGCAAATACAATGTAGTCGCTCTCTCTGTAGACCACATTGAAAATACTCATGCAAATGTTCTACACAATATAGTACAAATATCACTAGGCTGATTTACCGTATTTTAGTTAAATTGCCAATTGACGAACTATTTCATGTCGCAAAACACTAACAATTGTTTTTTCACCTATTCGGCTAAGGCACGGACTCTAGATTTTTGTAATTGGCACATTTTTTGACACGCTGTGGGATATTGCCGCGCGCAAGGCTGAGAAAGCAACGCTCGGTCGCGGTCCTCCAGAAAGCTCCCGTTTATTCATGTACCGCCCGTAACTTCTATCATTTATCCTGCTTTTGTTTTCTAGAAAGTGCGTGTTCATTCTCGCCCCGATCACGCGACGCTCGAACCGTTTTCGCCGAATCTTCGAGATAGCGACGCACTCTAGATAAGAGGCCGCCCGCGACCTTGTCGAGTCAGTCTCGCCTCTGCGCTCGATCCTGCGGTTTCGCCGACATCGACGCCCGCGACGCTCTGCTGTTTTCTTTTGTACCCTTTTATTTTTGGCACAAGTTCGCCACATTAAACGTTTATTTCTTCTTGTTCATTTTCTGTTTTCTTTTGGTCACCACCCGTGACATTTTGGTGGAGGTGCGGGGTAACGCATGCCATTGCCGCGTACCCCTCCGAGGTCCCGCAGTACAAGTCCGGACCCAGCCTCCCGAGGACCCGACGAAGACCAGATCGAGACCCGGTCAAGTCGCCGCATCCGAGGTCTACCCCCGGAACACGAACTTCTGCCGCCCAGGACCAAGCAGCCAACAAAGCCGACGATGGCCAACCAGTCGCCGACGCCCGCCGCTCCTGCCATCGTCTACCTGCCCGCCGCTCCCCGTATGCCGACACCCTTCCACGGCGAGATCCACAAGGATGTCAAAGACTGGATCAAGCACTACGAGCGTGTGGCGCGCCACAACGGATGGACTGCGGAGCAGTGCCTCCAGAACCTCTACTTTTCGCTGGAGGGTACTGCGAGGCATTGGTTCGAGAATCACGAGGCTTCGCTTACGTCGTGGGACATCTGTGTGGCCGAGTTGCAGCGGACGTTCGCCACCCTACACCGACGGGAGAAGGCAGAAGATCTCCTCCGAATTCGAACGCAGGGCCCCGACGAAAGCGTCACAAGCTTCGTAGAAGATGTCCTCCGCCTGAGCGCCCGTGCCGACCCACGAGCCACAGACGACAAGAAGCTGCGGGTCCTCATGCGCGGGGTGAGAGACGACATCTTTGGAGGCCTCGTGCGCAACCCGCCGGGCACCGTCGAAGCCTTCGTCACCGAGGCGACAAACATCGAGCGCGCCCTCCAAGCGCGCGCTTCCCACTACCAGCGACATCCAAGTCCAAGTGTCGCTGCAACCGCGCTGCTTGGCGGCGAGAACGCTCCTGGTACGGACATCCGCGAAATTATCCGGGAGGTCGTCCGGGAGGAACTCCGCCAGTTGCTGCCAGCCGCAAGTCGTCCAGCGACACTCTCCATTGCCGAGGCTGTGCGCGAAGAAGTGCGTCGGGCGCTCCAACCAGAGGTTCCCGTCACCACGGTGGCACCGGAGGAACCGATGTGGAGCTACGCCGCAATGGCCCGACGACCGCCGCAAGCCCCCCGTCAAGCCACGTCGCCACCCCGAAGAGACGCCCCAACGCCGCATTACCCCCGACGACAGGAAGATCAAGCGCACGTTCACCCAGACCGACCTGCGCCGAGGAAGACAGACGTCTGGAGGACGGCCGACCGACGCCCGCTGTGTCACCACTGCGGGGAAGCTGACCATGTGTACCGCCGATGCCCATACCGACGACTCGGGCTGCGCGGATTCCACCCAAGCGACCCGCGTCCCAGGTATGGTGAACGCCCTCGGGAGATCGACGAGTACTTGCGACGACCCCAGTCCCCCGAGCCTGCGTCCCACCGAGAGTTCCGATCGCCTTCACCACGACGTCCAGCTTCGCCGATGCACCGACCCCGACGTGAAAGCCTGTCGCCCCTTGCTCCACGCCGGGGAAACTAGGCGCGGCAACCCCTGGAGGTGGAGTTGCCGAAGACGACCGACGCCAAGATCCTCCACGAACGTCGGAGGGCCCCCACTCGAACGCTACCGGAGACCGAAACGACGCTCCTGAAACGGTGTCCAACAACCTAAACGTCATCATCGACGGCCACGACGCATCGGCACTCGTGGACACCGGAGCAGACTACTCAGTTTTGAGTGGGAGGCTCTCCCGCCGCCTTCGAAAAGTCACGACGCCGTGGGATGGACCTCAAATACGAACCGCCGGTGGGCACCTCATCACACCAATCGGGCGATGCACCGCTCGCGTCGAGATCCACGGTGAGACGTGCCCTGTAAAGTTCGTCGTTCTGCAAGACTGTTCGAGGGACGTTATCCTCGGAATGGACTTCCTCTGCGAATATGGCGCCGTCATCGACCTCGGAGCAAACCGGTTGACGCTGCGAAAGCCTGTTTCACCACCGGAGGAACCCAAAGCGACGTCATCTGCGGTCCGAGTCCTCGCCAGCCACGTTAACTTACCGCCGCGGTCGAGTGTTTTCGTACCCGTCGGGATCACCGAAGATTTCTGCGGCGAAGTTCTGCTCTAAGGAAGCCTCCAGTTGCTTCTGGGAAGAGGAATAGGCGTCGCAAGAGGAGTTGCTGAACTTCAGGATGGCCGCACTGTGGTCCTCGTCACGAACTTCCGAAACGAAGCGCAACACCTCATAAAAGGTGCAGCCGTGGGCCAGGTCGAGGAACTCCAAAACTCCGCCGCTGTCGCCGCCATTACTGACGAATTCTCGCCACTTCAGCAAGACAGTGCGTCGCCAGCGCAGCTCGACATTGACCCTAAACTCCCGGGCCCGAAACGACGACAGTTGATTAACCTTCTCGCCGAATACCGCGACTCCTTTGCCACATCGTCGAAGGTGCGCCAAACCACCGTTGCGAAGCACCGCATCGTTACCGAGGACGACGCGCGCCCTGTGCATCGATCGCCCTACAGAGTCTCCGTTAAGGAAAGGCAGGCGATCCATGAGCAAGTTCAAGAAATGCTGAACGACGACATAATTCAACCTTCAAGCAGTCCTTGGGCCTCTCCAGTCGTACTGGTTAAGAAGAAAGACGGGACGCTTAGGTTCTGTGTAGACTACCGGCAGCTGAACACGGTGACGAAGAAAGACGTCTACCCACTCCCCCGCATCGACGACACTCTAGACCTCCTGCGCCACTCTCGATATTTCTCATCGATGGACCTGAAGAGCGGCTACTGGCAGATCGAAGTCGACGAAAGGGACCGAGAAAAGACAGCCTTCGTCACGCCGGATGGACTGTACGAGTTCAAAGTGATGCCCTTCGGACTGTGCACGGCGCCAGCAACTTTCCAACGTGTCATGGACACCGTACTGGCAGGACTGAAGTGGCAGAGCTGTCTCGTCTACCTCGACGACGTCGTCGTGTTTTCCAGCGACTTCGACGAGCACTTGCGACGACTCCGAGCAGTTCTCCAAGCCATACGGACCGCCGGACTCACCCTGAAGCCGTCAAAGTGTCGGTTCGCTTATGACGAACTGAAGTTCCTCGGCCACGTGGTTAGTAAC